AAGGAGGCGGAGTGAGGGAGGTGGAAGAAGAGGGTCCTGAAATGAGGGGTCTGGCCAGTGGATCCCAGGAGATTTGTGGTGCTGGAGCAAGAGCCATCCACAGGGATTAGGGTGGCAGAGAGGGTCCCTGTGCCCCCCATCACCTCCCAGCACCCTTCTCACCCCCACCTTCGAGAAGCAACTCTCCCGTGAGCCTGGGGAGGGTGGGCACTTGGATTTCAGGGGATTTCTTCACCTGCCTGGACTAGGAACACTACATGAGGGATGTGAAAGACTGTGACTGTCCCTGCCTGTTCCTCAGGAGCTTGTCACTGCCTGTGCCACATCTCCTGGCCCTGTCCCCAACCCACCTGCCTGCAAACAGGCGCCAGGGCAATGCAAACACATCCAAGTTGATTCAGTCCGGGTGCAACCATGTCCAAAGCTGCCTTCATTTTTTTTTTTTTTTTTTTACTGTTTTAAATCTTTTTCCCCCTCTTTTTCTTATGGATAAGCCTCTTATTTTAAATGAAAAGCCACAAAGCTGATGCGTGGGCTGAGTCTGTGCAGTGGCCCCGTGCCGGGGGCAGCTGTGGCAGCAGCACGGCGGGGTGGGACGAGGCATTTGGGATGTGGTGGGAGCTGCTGAATTGCTCCTTTTTCAAAATGTGCACAGCTCTTGTGTCTCTTGTTTTTTGTGGTTTTTAAAATTTATTTATTTTACCACCAATTGTATCGACCTGCTGGAGCTGAGGGAGCCTGGGCAGCGATAAAGAGCATCGCAGTGCTGGCAGACAAACCAGGAGGCACTTGGGGCTGCTGGAGGCCAGAGGTCCCCAGTGTCACTCTCCAAGCTCTGCCAGGGACCTGGGTCCCTCTGGAAGTGGTGGGAAGCTCTGCAGGGTGCCTCCATGTGGGGTGGACCAGTGCAACAACAAAAATGCCCAGGAGGACAGATGATTATAGCTATTTGATGGGTTTTTTTGGCGCTCCTTTTAGCTGCAATGAGTACTAATTACACACCTGGAGCTCCCTCTATCCCCACCACCCTGCGATGGGGTGCCTGTGTTTGAGCTGCAGAGGGTCCCTGGGAGCTGCCCAGGGCATTAAAAGCATCACCCTTGCGGGTGCCTGAGCAGCAGCTGCTCCCTCGGTGGGCAGAGCAGCCGCTGGGTCAGTTCAGGTCAAATCCTGGATGCGGGGGTGGGGAAAAAAAAAAAAAAAAAAAAAAGCTCCTTTGGTATCTGTGTGACAGAGCCCACAGCAGGAGGGATTAAGGCTCCCAGGGAAACCATTTGCTGGCTTAGATCACTCGTTTCAGTGCAGAGAAATAATATTCCAGAGACAGGTCTGGGATTGCAGAGAGGCTGTTCCGGGGGGGGGGGTCATTTCAGCCGGGCTCAGCACGCCAAGCCTGAGCTTTGCAGCTCATTTGGAGTTGGCACCTCTTAACAACCCACCTCACGCTTCATTATGAGGCTTAACTACCCGAGGTTGTAGGTCTGAAGGTGTTTTTAGCTTATTTTTTAGCTCTTTGTTTAAAAATCGCTATATTCTCAACTGCCCTGGGCTGTCACCACCCAGGTGTGTCCCAGTGAGATGGTGGCAGGGGCTGACCTCTGTTTTGAGGATGTTTGCACTGTATTATTGAAGGTTTTTATTCAATGATTTCAGCTTAATTTTCGGCTCAGCTCCAGGCAGTTGGGTGGGTCTTTTCCCACCCCAAAAGAAATCGTATCTTTTTTACAAAGAAGGACTAATAAACCTTAATCAGGGTGTAAGTAACCCCATGGACCAGAGAACAGCCCAAGCATTAAAACATATGGCTTACAGCACAAAAAAACCAGCTCCTAGTAAATGCAAGACTGAGGAGGAAGAAATCATCCTCCTCATCCTGGTGAAGAACCCAACACAGGCAGATTGCTGGAACAGGAGAGGGAAGGGGATGGGCACTCACATTTACTGGTTTTTATTGTGTTACGAACAGTCTCTAATATAAACTGGGTGATTCAGATTATTGTTGTGATTGGACTGATGGGAAATGGTTGACACATCTTTGAAGCATTAATTAGACCTAAACTGAAAGGTAATTCTTGGATCCATAGGTAAGGCATGTTCTTTCTGGTGCCAACACATGAAACTCATTTGTATCTGCTGCAGCAGCCACAGAGGTACTGGCTCACCTCTGCCCAGCCTGGCTTCTTCCAGGACAGAAATCCATGTCCAATCCAAGAATATCAGTGACAAAACCACCTTTTCTTGTTGTTTTGCCATTTCCAAAGGGGTCTCTGACCAACCTAACTGCACCCCACCAATATTCCCCCTTTTCCACAGCGCCTCGATGAGAAAGGTGAAAGGCAACCCCCTGAAAAAAGGGGGCTTGATCCAGAAGGGAGAAATTATTCTTGGTTGTGTGAAAGGGAAAAGGCAAAAGTGGCCATGGATCTGCTGTTTTGAGGGCTCCACAGCCCAGGCCTCCCCACATCCAGCCGGGCACGCACGCGCACACACACGCACACACCGCTTTGGTTTATAATTTTTTTTTTCTTAGCAAAAAAATAAAAATTTATTGTCCTCTAAAAAAAAAAAAAAAAGAAAAAAGAAAAAAAAATCCATCCTGCCCTTGGAAACTGTGACACAGATTGAGTTCTTTCCAGCCCCACATGCAAATTCACTCTGCCAAGAAAAGAGTCTAAACCAGGTTTCCGACAGCCAAAACACATATTTACAGAGTACGAGAGAACGACAGCTGAAATCACAGTTCTATACATGGAATCAACAACACGTTTTACACCACTGATCACCATTCTGCCAACTTCTACACGGACTAGGGGCGCTTCTGCCCAGTGCCCTTCCTCCTGGGGAAAGCAGGGAAGGGACTGGGCAAGAATTGCCACCAGAAATACTGCAGTGTGTATTATTATTATTTCTTTTAAAACGTATACTGTATTTATTTTGTTTTAACATTGGAAGCTACGGAGTGGGGAAGCCCCAGAAATCTCTCCGATGCAGTCACTACTTTGCAGGAATACTTCACCTTTAAAATACTAGGTTTTACATCAGTAACATCTATTTTGCTGTTGGCCATCACTCCAAGGATTATTATAACTCTGGAGGAAAACACTGGTAATATTCTTCCTTCTCAGATGGGGGAAAAGGAGGAAGAGAGGAGGTTTGGAGGCTGGTGGAACAGCAATGGATGACTGAGTCCATTCAGTGTTATGGGCTTCCTCCCAGGGTAAGGAATTCTCTTCATTGTCTCAGCTGCACAAGCCTTGCAAGTGGCTCAGGTTCAGCTTCAGAGATGCACAGAAAGTGTAAAACCCTTCAGCAGGGGATCAGCTGCACTGACCCCCCAGGGGTGGGGATCTGCTTAAGGAAATGTGCTCCAGCTCCGAGACCTTTCCCAGGTCCCTCCTGTGTCACCGGGTCTTTGCTACTGCTGGCACATGGCTACAGCATCTAGGGCTGGAGATGAGCTGAAAGTGCTCCTGTTAGCCCAAAATGATCAGATCCTTCAGCTCCTGGCTCTCATCTACAGCTCCAGCCTTGCTTTTTGCTCTCCATTTACCCAGCATAGTGTTGCCCCAAGCCAGCTGCTTCTAGATTGGTTTTCCATAATAATGTAAAAATTTACTGACCTTTAGGATACTGTGGTTTCACAACACAACCACAACTCCCTTCCCCCAGCCTCTTCATCCAGAAGCGCCTGACCTACAGAATTAGTCACCGAGGTTCAACACTTCTGAAGCTCCCAAAACTCGGGGGAGGAAAATGTCATTGTCCAATAAGGAGTCTGTGTGAGGAGGCAGCACCCAGACGTGCTCAGGGCTGGGCTGCTCCTCAGGGAGCCTCGTGGAGCCAAACTTGGTGTTTAAGCCCCCTCAGTTGTGCCTTGTTACTGTGTGTCCTGTAAAGGGAGCTCCTGCTTCAGAAGGAAGCCTGACAGTACGTGACAGGGGCTGCACTTGTATTAGCACCAGGTTTATTTCAGCTCTTTTCACACCGTACAGAAGCTGATCACAGGCTTCTTAAGCCTTAACTGCAGTGCTGTGATTATGGTTTGTCCTTCCTGCCTAGGGCAGGCAGCAAAAAACTGGAGTGGGTCAGGAATGCTGCCCCTTCCCCCTGCTCTCGCCTCATTTGGTTTGGAAATTGTCATAAAAGTGGCCCCCCAGAACATTCACAAAATATGCAAAGATGAAGTTCTCTTTTCCATCTGATGCTTAAGAAAATAAATTCACATTTCAGATACTCCTTTTTCTTTCTTTTTTTTTTTTTTTTTTAAGCAGCAAACAAATTAATAAAAACCTAAATTTAGGAAGTGTTTCTTCAAGAACCAGAGGAAAGTGAGAAACAGTCTATGTGCTTGTGCAAAGAGAGTGCTGAGGGAGGTTGGGGTGGGGGCAAGGGAATGGTCGAGTGTTAATTCCTTCAGGCTGTTCTGCCATGAGTGCAGTGTGGCAATGGAAAGTCAAAATTTAAGGGCCACAAACAGGTGAAATTTTGAATTCTTTGGTCCTTCAGTGTAAGTTTTAAAACAGAGAAACTGTTTTACTCAAAAGGGAAAAACATATTTTCTCTGGCCTGGAATTCTCCTTGTACCCCCTCCCTGCCTAAGCAAACGCACCCCAATGGAAACTGGGGGGGCAAACAGCTCTTCCTCCTCAACCCCCCAGCTCTGCATCACCCCGTGCCTGGAATTCCCGTGGACACAGCCCCGAGGTGCCTCCAGGGGACCAAATTCCAGCTGAAGGGACAAAGAGCCCCTGTGGGAACGGCTGCAGTCACAGGGCTGGTGCTGGACAGCTCTGACAACAGAGGGTTGGCAAAAGGCAGCATCACCCTGAGCAGCCCCCGGGGGGGCAGAGGAGCAGATAAACCCCCACGCTCATAAAAAGTGTTACAAACCATAGCCAAAACGGGCTGATCAGCTCTGCTGCTTATAAATATTAAAGTCCTGATTCAAGAGTTTATTTCCTATGATTTAAGTTAGTTACAAAAAAAAAACAACCCAAAACTTTTTAGTAAATTTTTTATCTTAATTGGGCTTTTTTTCCTCCTCCCCCCCCACTTTTAAAATTTTTTTTATTATTTTTTATTTTTCCTAAAAAAAAAGAGAAATGTTCACGTATTTTAATAAAAGGTCTTTCCTTAAGATCAGACCAAGGCAGATGTGCTGCCCCATGGCACAGACATTCAAAGGCTATAACCAAACAACATAGCCACAATAGTCACTCAACAGTGTCTCTCCATTAAAAAAAAAAATTAAAAAAAAATTGATGCTAGTTACAATAAAATACACATGGAAAAAAAAAAAAGCATTTTTACCAAAAAAACCCAAAAACAAGTTAATGGGAAAACATAAAAAAAGAACTACACAGAGCTGCACTTAAGAGATCATCTGGGAATGCATATTAACCCCTTCCATGGAGAGGAAAGGTGGAATTATGGAAGCAAACCTAATTATGTGTTTGTATTAAATATGAAGCTTTCTGAGAGGCTCTGGTAAAAATTCATTTTTCCTACAATAGTGGGCTGCTGGAGGTTCCAGTGCTTTTCCAGGTCAGGGAGGGGCAGCATGGGAGCATCCCTGTGCAAAATAAAAATGTTTAGTCCAACTGAGTGGCCTTTTGGTTGAGATCCCAGCAGGTTACTGCAATCCACCTGATGTGAAAATCCAATGGACACACCAGTAAGGAAAAAGTCACAGGAAAGCTCAGCTGCTGGACAGGAAAAGGTGGTGGCATTTCCCTGGCCCGCTGGACTTTCTGTCACCACACACACCTCTAACACGAGGCTTTCTGGAGCCAGCAGTCCACAAACCAACCTTGAGCTGCTGACACAGGCAACATCAGCTCCCTTTAACAAAACTCAGCCTACCTGGAAATGGTTCATGCACTTCAGCAGTGACTACAAATCAGGTCCCTGTGGTTAAAACAAAACTGATCTGGTCTGAAACAGTAAAAAACCTCTAGACAGCCACCAGACAAAGGGGTGCCTGGAGAGAACTAACCTCTGCATCCAAATTTCCTTCATAAAGGGCTTTAGCTGACCCAAGGGCAATACTTTTAAGGCTGCTCAGACCTGGAACATGTTGGCTGTATCAGCAATGAACACCAGTCATTGAATTTTTGGGGCTTGGCTTGCTCTAGGTCCAATAGAATTTATTTTTTTTTCCCTCTTTTCTTCTTTTCATACAAATATACAAAGAGCGTAAAAAAATTTAAAAAGTGAACTTTGCTGCTTAAATGACAGACAAAGTTCCTGCACATTCAGAGATGGGCAACGTGAGGCCCACCAGGCAGAGCTTCCATCAGGGAGGACGGCTTTAACCAAGCTGGGTCAGTGAAAGAGCAGGGGGACCGAAGGCATGAACGAGTCATTTCAATCCACCTCGATCCACCCCGCGATCTCAACTCTTCCTCTGGAAAGCACATGGAAGCCCCTCTTGCCCACTCTAAGTCCTTCTGGAAATAGTCAAAAATTTGTTATCACCTAAATAGAAAAGAGGAGAAACACAGACTCTTTGCAAATGGCCCTTTGATCTGTATTAAAAACAGCTCTCAAAGTTCATCAAGAGTTAGAATTAGTGGGGCACGGGTGAGGGGCAGTTTAGATACGGGATGTAAAATATTAAAAAGTGCTCTGCAACTAATTTTTTTTGTTTCATGTGTGTATGTGCCCGTGTGTGCACATCCCTACACATGCACAGACGTGCACATACACACACATATATACATATATATATATACACATACATATATATATGTACGTATGTATAAAGTTAAAAAGTTCTATACGATATGATTAGAACGAGTGTCCTTGGAAGGTCACGACTGGAGAGAGTGGGGCCTGTTGGGATGGCAGATGGGGCACTCGCCCTCCTCGGCGCAGGTTTCACACAGCACTGCGTGTTGGCACGGTAACACCACCCGGTTCTCCTCCTGACACTTAAGGCATTTCACTGACTGCATCTGAAATACCGCCTGCAAGAGAGGGGGACAGGGCACAGCGTCAGCAAAGGGGGCTGCACGGTTTAGGGGGCAGCAGGGAAGGACATGCAGCTGTCCATCTCCTGAAGGAAAAGCAAAGCAGCCATGGCACAATGCCTTTTAGGACCTTTAGGATCAGCAGAGGAGCTTAGATTGACTCAAACTCTGTACTTGAGGCATAAAGATGGAGGCATTTTCCTGTAAGCTGGCTAAAACTCACTGTGGTTACATAAGCTGGAAGCGCTCTGATAGGCTCCTGATTTCTGGCTAGATTAAAGGAAAGGGGAAAAGCTGAGATCTGCAGGAGCACAGGGAGCAGAGCCCTGCAAACCCCCGGCACTCACCTTGTCGACCTTCTCCAGGTTTGCCCGCAGCTGCTTCTGAAGGGTGTACAGCGACGAGAGCGAGAGCGTCTCCAGGTCAGAGAAGGAGCGCAGGAACTGCGGGTCCTGGCCCGTGTGGATCCTCTCCAGCTCCTCCTGCAGTTTCTTCACTTGCAGCTCCAAGGCTTCCCTCTGCTCCCGGGCCAGTTCACATTCCATGTTAGCTGTGTTGGCGCGATCATTTGCTTCCTCTGCCTCCTTTTTCCAAGCATCACAAGCCTACAAGTTCCAACAAAGAGGGTAAAAGAAGCATCCTGAAAACTCGGACTCCCAAGAGAATTCCAGGTAAAAGTATCCATTTCCATACACTCCTCACCAGGTCTGTCCAACCTGCCCTGCTCCCAAATTCTGAAACATGTCTGGAGCTTTGCTTCAAGGTGCTGCTCATTGCAGACATCCCATCTGGCTGGGCTGTGGTTCTACACATCTGGCTCACACCGTTAAAGGGGATGAACTTTGCATGCTGACAGATTACCGTGGATCAAAGTCAACAGGCAGGTCTCAGACACTGTCCAGTGCCTCAGTGCATCTGTTATGACACCTGGCCTTGCACTCCCAGCACCTGAACACATCAGGCATGGTGATTCAGCCCCTCCTTCCAAGGGAGGGGAAAGAATGAGAATGCTGAAGAGAATCTGTAAAACCTACAGCTCTATCCATCACCTCAGTGTCTGGAGAGCTCCTGTTGAAAGGCTGACACCCTCCTACTCTACACTCCCTAATCCTTGTTCCCAGGAGTTGCCCAAGTACCTGTTTGGCTTGTTTCCAAGACTCTTCCCACTGCTTTATTGTGCTGTTGGCCTCATCCAGTTCTTGTCGTAGCCGTGCCAGCTCCGCAGCACCTGGACCTGACAGAAATGCAGGTGAGGTACTGGGCGAAAAACTCCCCGAAGCAAAGTGTTCCCATATGCTGCTGTTCATCCCATTTAAACCTGTTTCACAGGGAAATAGAGAGGGTTATGTCACAGGTGCTGGCAATTTCCCCCATTTCCTCCCTACCCCTGTGAAATCCAGGCTTCAAAAACGTGTCAACAGGATAAAAAGTTCATCTGAAGGATCGGTTTCATCCCCAGGACCCCAGAGTCCATCACAGAGGAACTTTATAGGGAAATTTCACACCATTAAGCCTCATCTGTAGTGGAGGACCCATGATACTGAGTGGAGGCAACTCTTGAATCAGACTGCTTTTAGAAGCATCAGTTTTACAGCAGAGCTGACGATCAGCTGGAATCCCCCTTCTCACAGGAGAACCCACGACCTGCTACTACATTCCCACTTTTCCATGCAGCACAGCCACCACAGTCGGTTCACACAGCCCAGGCGGTGCTTCCTCTCACACTGCACCCTGAGAAACTCCTGCTTTTGGCTCCTCAGCTTGGGGCTTAGAAAAGGAGTCCCACTTGCAAACAGTGACATGAAAATGCTCCAAGTCACCACTGTTTCTGCGTGCAAAAAACACAACCAACTGGAAAATCCTGTTTATAAAAAGGTAGAGAGACAACAGTATCTACATCAGCTTCATCCTCAGCAGAGTTCTAGCCCAGAGCTAGTGAACAGCATCAGAGAAGACTAACTAACCACCTCCCTATTTTAGCTTGTTCCAATGAATTCTCTTTTCAGGAAGAAATTCAAGGCTTAGGAGACAAAGCAGTGGGAAATCAGTTGTAGACAAAACCAGCTATTTTTCCACTGAGTCCAATGTTTGTACTCTCTTAATAACAAAAATATTTTCACTTAAAATAATTACCCACACTTTGTACTCAGGGGAGAACTAGTAGGAAAAGGTAATATTGGGACAGTGTGGACTCTTACCCACACAGTTTGCTCCAGTTTGATGTGGGAATCATTTTCATGTTATGGTGCTCACCACTGGCTGTGAACATTCCTAAATTAAGTTGCAAGTGATAATTCTGATCTTAGAGCAGCTGAACTGTGTCTGCAAGTGAGCCCTGGAGCCAACAGACTCTCACCCAGGTCTAACCCAGCACCACTGACTTCCCATTTAGTACAAGCCAAGACACAAATAGTTACAAAAATACAGTTGAAAAATAGTAACTTGTCTTCAGCAAGGGCTCAAGGCACATTAACAACTCATTTAGCAGAGCAGCAAAGGATCTTTGCTGGCTCAGGCCACTTAGCAGAGGTCATTTCAGCTGCTCTGAACGGTGCTCAGTCAAAAGCAAGAAGTTTTAATGGAATCCCGACTCACATTCTGTTTTTAAACTTCAGTTTTCTTGAATGGGAATCTAGCACTAAGTGGGATGCTGGCAAGCCACAAATTCTGCCATAATGCTGATCAAGCTGATCTTGCAATTTGTTTTTACTCCCTCTTTCCACCTGCTGTTCTCATTTCACATCTGAAGTCTCAAGCCTCTTTGGTCAGGAATGCCTTCTCTGCACATTTTGCATTAGCACAGTGGAAACCAGCCCAGGACTAGGTATTTTTAACTCAATTGCAACAAAAAAAGTAATAACTACACACTCTACACGTTACTTATGTGCATTCAGTAATTTACATGGAACAGACAGATTCCAGATTGCCAACTGCTGGGTAACTATTTCTATAATCTTCTCAAAACCTCACCAACTGGTATTTCAGGAAAATATCTAACCTTTTCCTTATAAATAAATTATTAAAATGCATTTGTGAATCTCTTGCATTTTTTTTTGCCTTTTATTTGCCTAAATACACAGTCAGGATAAAATATAAAACTCTTATTTCTTCTGAAATTAAAAGCAGGCCTTATCAGCAATTTTTCATTTCCTTACTGAAACAGGGACAAACAGCCAACTTCAACCCTAATTAATAGCTGAGATAGCCTCTGATGTCTCTTATTACAGTAATTGTAAAAGCTGCTAAAGCCAAACAAACAGCAATGACAAGCATGGAAACATGGGTTTGGGCTGTGCAAACAAGGGATGCAGTTACACAGATAAGTGCATGCAGAAATAGATTACAAAAGCATGTAATCGTTTTATTAGGTTAAGCTGAATATTAGAGATTAAAGTGTATCTCAAATTTGAAGAGGCATTTATGTCTAGCATCAATAGAGAGAATTAATATTTACTGTTATTAAGAGAAATGAGCAGAACTGGTGTCACTGTAGCCTGGAGCCCAAACAGTTTTATTTCTCATGGCAACCCTGTGTCTTGGTAACAAAATAGTTTGTCCCCTCAGTTCCCAGTTCTTCCTGATACAGCTGAAGCTTCAAAGTAGTTTCTCCTCCCTTCACTCCTTCATACAGGAAAGAGATTCTTCAAGGAGGGGAAGGAGCCAAGGGGACAAAGCTGGAAAAATAACTTTTTGCAAAGTCCATACTGCAAAACTGGTGCAGAGCATCAAATAGGGGAAAAATGACAATGTCCCAAGCCTGCTCTAGAGCTCCCAGAAGCCAACCTGACCCATAAGCAGCCCCAAAGGCAACCTGCAATCCCTACCTTAAATAAGCAAAGCTGGGGACCCAGCTCTGAGTTTTACATGAAGTCTCAGCACAGAACTGTTGGCAGGAAAAGGCAGAGCTCTTTTCCCTGAAAGGCATCATCAGAGCAAGTCAATTAACCTATCTGCCCCTTTTCCTCAGCCTAGAAAGAGAGAAAGTAGAGGGAATTGCTCTCTTGCTCACAAGGTATTAGCTGATTTTGGGAAAAGCAGCTTCTAGTACCGTTGCTGGGAAGAAGAGATACAAATGACAGCAGTGAAACAACACATTAAAATTAAAGCCAACTTAAAAGAAAATACTTACATGGCACAGACAGGCATGTACATGGGGACACACACACTGTGCATTTACCTAATGATCCATGAGAAGCTGATGTCCCCAGGAACGTGTTTTCTGATTGGCTTAAGTGTCCCTGGGGCTGATGGAGGAAATGCGATGAGAGGCTGACCGGTGGAGAAGGAGAGGCAGAGTGAAAGGAGGCAGAGCTTCCAAGGGACCCGGGGATATTTACAGGAGCAGAACTTTGCAGCAAACTCCCACCTGGACAAAGAACACACAGAGAGGATGGCTATGTATGACCATGAGGTGTGGGCACAGGGCAGGAGTTCAGAGCAGAAGGCAGTAGGTTCCCTTTCTCCTCCCTAAGCCCCTCGGGATTCCCTCCACTTCTCCTCGTGTTTCATTCCCCTCTTGGCCTTTAAGAGGAGCACTGAAGCTGCCATCCCGTGACCCATGCAGGTTAAGGCCCTGCAGAATTCAATGGATCATTCTTTCACTGGCCAAAGCAACAGCAGGTTTTGTGAGCAGAGTTCAGTCCCTGTCAGTCTGCAGAAGATGAATTTGGTAAAATACTCTATCACGAAAAATTCACTGCTAAAACATGTGTCTCTGCCTCTAATACGTCCAAACAACCTGTAATGAGAAGACTATCATGCTGGGTGAGGTCATGATCTTAACCACTAAAAATCAGTGACTAGCTTTAGTTAGTTCAGACATACCTGAGTGCCTGGATCTCTCAGTAATAAAAAACCCAAATAAACGAAAGCCTAAGCTCAAAAGACATCAACTTTCCTTACACAAGAGGTTATTCTGCCTGCCACACAGATTAAGGGAGGTCTCAGCCCTGCTCCCTCCTCAGAAGATCCCTAGGTAACACCAGCCCTGATGGGAAGAGAAAGAGAAGGAGGATCCCTAAGGCACTGCAGATGGGGAGCAGCAGAAGCAGGGTTGGCAGCAGACAGGTACAGTAAACTCTCCCACCAGGCTCTATCCTTTGGCAGGGAAGTGGAAGTGATATTCTTAGGGTTCTTTCCAACAGCTCCCTTCCTACCTCTCCAGCTCCAGGCAGCGCAGTTCCCTTGGAAACCTGACAAGCAGAGTCAGCTCCCGTTCAAACACCTGCTTTACACAGCAAGGGTAGCCAAAAACTACAACCACTGCCACAAAGTTACATTTCGTGTTTCCCTGGACACCCATCAGAGACAGGCAGAAGAGGCCTTAGCCTACCTCCACATATCAAAATGAGACAGACATCACAGGAATCAAATCAGCAGACCATGATGACACTCTGTGACAGATGGATGGCATTACCAGGTCAGTGAGTTTCCTCTTACAGCTAAGGGAGAGCTTTCTGCTTAAGGTGCAAATTGTTATGCTTTGGTTTTTAAATGTATCAGATGCCTTCTAGAGTCCACTTACACACTCAAAAAAAAGAAAAAAAAAAAAAAAGGAAAAAAAAAAAAAAAAAAAAAAAAGGAGAAAAAAATCAAGCAAGTCCCATTCAGTCTCAAGAAACATCCCCAAGACATCTGGGCCCAATGGCAACAACTCAGCTCTGCTAGTCAGTAAGGGCAAGCTCTCACTTCAAAGATGCTCAGGGGTTGCCAGAGTTTGTTATAATTGCTGTTTTAACCAATGTTATTTCGGGACTGGTTTTAGAGCTTGGTTGGGCTGGCTCCACTGAGGTGACTGGGCAACACTGCTTGGCAGAAGATAAAGAAAGCTCTGTTGCTTTCATGTACCTATCATGATGCCACTCGTGTGGGGCACTGTGCTGCTGTCAAATGTCTTCTCCAGGGCAGCCACTCCGAATTCATTCAGGTCCAGGTCATCCAAGGCAGACTCTGCCAGACACAGAGGTACCAATTATGTTATAAAGGACCAACAACTTCAAGAGATAGGATGGCCCAAAGAGCCTACATGCAGAGGAGCCTGCACTCTCTATTTGTCAGGGCCCTACTCTACGCCCTGTTCCGAGATTGTTTGGCAGAAGAGTCATGGGCAGCTTTTCAATTCAGGTTCTTTTACCTGATCTGATTTCTTTTTGTCTCAAAGTCTTCCCAAATGTTTTATGAGAACAAAAATCTCATGAAATAACAGCAGATCCCATAACCCTTCCCCAAACTGCTCTCATAAATCTGTTTCTAATTATGAAGGAACGCTGGCTGATGGCATGTCTGGGTCTGGTTCGTGCTTTGTCCCTACCTTCCCAAAAAGTAGAAGGGGAAGACTGAAAAACATCTCTGAGGTTCAAAGATAGGGTAAAATAAAGCTTATTAATGCCTGCAAGGGTTATATCTGTTTGAACATGCCTCATCACTAATGATGATCAATATAATTCCATCCCACACATGCCCACTCATTTCTATTATTATTTTTATCAAATTAGTGAGATCACCTCAGAAATGTTATATTTAATTAAAAAAAAAATGAAAAAAAGAAAAAAGAAAAACGGGTGACCAAAAAACCTGTACCTATCTAAGAGTGACTCCACTCTCTGGATTCTCATATTCTCCTTTTTCTTTCAGCCTCTGTCCTACACTCTATGAAGGGCAAGTCTTTACAATCTACCTGGTGGCAGCCCTGGCTATAAAACTGTCATTTAGAACATAAGGGATTGTAACTGTGGAAAAATGCCCCTGTGATTTCCTGCCTAGTCCAAGACCTCTTTGTCACTTTGACAAAACCTAAAACTAAGGCCCTTTACAACCACGTGACATTCTGAGTAAGTGGCTCAGAGGCCTTCAGTTGGTCCCGTGGGTGAATTTCATCCATAACGACCTGCAGAAAACATCAGATGTGTCACAGCCACAGAACAAGCCTCGGGAATCCGCCAGCACTGACAGAGACGGAAAACTGGAGGTCACTGGAACACCCACGATATTCCAACTCTCGTACCTGGCGCTCCGAGCCTGAGGAAGCCCTACCAGCACGAGTGAAAAAAAGCAAAGTTACCTATGACAGACTCAACGGTGTCACTGGTTGGGTAGAAGGGAAGGGCATTGGCATTCATGCCTGGAATGCTGCTGGTGCCAGCAGGGCTCGGGGGTGTTGCAGCCAGACTGGAGGTGATACTAGAGGAGATGCTGGATGTCAGCGGGCTCCCCACTGGGAGAATACCCAGAATGTCCTGAAACAAGAGTTTGAAAAGGGAAAGAGGAAGGAAATAAAACATCTTTATAGAAGAACCCCTTCAGAAGCATGCAGGAACGAGCCAAAGATCAGCAGCAAACCTGCTTCCTGCCTGCTTCCAACCTGACAGATGGCTACTACTGGGCGGGGGGTGGGGAGAGATTAACAGCTTTTCTTTAATTTCTATCGACTGTTCTCCATTTCATGTCCCTCCCCCAGTATTCTAAACATCTTTCAGGCTGCCCCAGAATTAACTCCTATGACTCACAGGTTGCATGCAATCACAGCCAAGGGCCACACAATCACTCACTCAGTTCAGCACACGACTTAGAACCTGATATTAAATTCCCTTTGCCAAATCCTTGAACTTAGATGACTCCAGAGATCCATTCCAGCTCAATTTTCTGTAATTTGAAGACTCTCTCCAGCACGGTCCAGCCCTCTGAATCCATCCTGAATTCATTCAGGTCTAACTACTCACAAATAACACCTCCAGCAAATCATCCCATCCTCATAAAGTAATCCCTCCAGCTGAGCATCCCTAATGGTGTCTGGACTGTTATTTACTCCCTGCAGAGCTGTCTGGATCCACAGAGATTTCTCAGTGCTGGTGGAAGCGCTGAGCTGTGTTCAGAGCCCTGCTGGCAGTACCGTACCTGTTTGGGCTGTAACAAAGGTTGCTCCTGGCTCCTGTGTTCCAGTGAGTGGGACTTCATTTTTGCTTGCTGCAGTGAAGAAACGAAACAAAAAGATAAGCAGAGGGATTATTTAGCAAAATTTAAAATGGGAAACACAGTCCACTCCTCTCTGGGTCTGCTCAAGGCACTAGAGAATATGGAGAGAGGGAAAGCACAGCAAACTGAAAACACTCCAAGTAATTTATGCTTTCTGTACACCCAGACATCACTCCTAGAGTTATGCAAAGACTTGTCACGCTGACATTTGCCTTCAGTGCTGCTCTAAGTCCCCTGCTACCACAAAGCACATCCTAAGAACCAAGATCAAAAATGAATTATTTTGCCTTGCTATAACTAACTCATCAGCCCTACTAGCATCTAAAAATCAGAAAGGGCCAGAAATGGTGGGAGGCATACTACATTTTTAAATTATGTAAATATTCTTCAGTTTGGGGAAAATAAAGTCTGTAGATTATGTTTTCTCTCAAACTCTTCCAGCTCCCAACTAGGACTGCAAAGTAAAATACAGTGATAACTAATTAACTTTCAAAACAACATCATCAAAACTGATTTTATAAAAAATCCTTCCCCCATCCATTAACATGAGAGCTCAAAGCTATAAAACATAAGTGAGGTTAAGACTGCCTGGAATTGCAAAAAATTCACAGTGCCAACATACATTTAGAATTCCACTATCCAGCCTAAAAATTCAGCTTAAGGACCTTCCAGCACTATATCCTTAACGGATATCAACTCTCTTGCCTTGCAACATCAGTCAATTCTGATGGAACTCAGTTGGGAAGGAAGTGGCCTCGGGAGCCTGACAGTGTGTAACGGTCTGTCTGCAGACCTTGCTCCCTTCCTCCCATGCTGTGACACGGCACAGGGAGATCAATCACAGCCCCTGGGCACAGAGAGGGAGCAAAAAAAAAGTACTGAAAGCCAGTGCTGCTTGTTTACTCCCTCTCCAGCCTCCCCAGTCTGAAACACAGACGTATTCCAGGCATGAAGTGCACACGATGGTTTTTATCCCAAATGCAGGCAAGGCACCATCTCAGCAGGGAGATGTGGAACAGCAGCACACCACGCTGACCTGAAGTGATATGCCTTGACTTTTTGGCTTAAACAGTCCCATGACAAAGATAAATGATTGCTGGAGAGGGATGGTATAACCAGACAGGCGAAAGAGCAGCGGAAGAATTCATCCCTTGGTTTTACTCCATTAAATCATTTCCCCTGCTCAGCTGCACGCCTGTGGGCAGATGGGGAGGTCAAAGCCTGGCAGCCAGGCAGTTGAGATACGGACACAAAGATCCTTCTGCAGTGGGTACCACTCTCTCACGCTTCCCTGAACAACATGCAGTGTGTTTACACACAGCAGAACTGCCACTGAACCCATCACGGGCTTGTTCTCCTTTGTGAGCGGGAGCTGCGTTAACGTGAGTGCCTCTGTGTGTGTCTGATAACACGCCTGCTACATTATCCAACACATCCCTGCCCCCCCCACACTCCTGTGAACACAAAACGTGCTATCACAGACGTCACAGCTGAAGGGAAGGCACATACACAGCCGTGCCCCCACTGAGAGGCTTCCTGCCAACGTAGGGAGGTTGCTCTGCTGCAGTTAACTCTGACTGGAAGGGGTTTTTTCCCTTTAAGGAGGAGAAAAGTGAACCCATTTCCACGTTAGTCCCAATTCCCACTGCCTTGAATTCACAAAACACGAGCAAACCAAATGTCACCACTAAGCCAGTCTCCTTTAGCTCTGAACAATATTAGAAAGGGCACATATCAAGACAAAAATTCAAGGGACAGGCTGAAATTCTCCAGCTCACTCTGTTGCAGTCAGGGAAGAGAACAAGGGACATAAATTATGAGTGAAACGAAATGTTTTCTGACCAGCATGGAACAAACCTACTGTGCTGTGTGTCAGGACTTGGGAACACCTCCTGGTTGTGGCATTCAAGTCCTTCCAGTGCAGCCAGCATTTTTCCAGCTTGCTAAATCTTTTGGGACTCGGGAAAAGTATTTTTAGCTTTAACTGCTGGCTCAGCCTTACCACAAACTATGTGGAATCTATTAAGACAGAAGGTGCATTTTTCATTCTAATAAGATAGAAACTATTTGTACTAATTCTACAGAGGAAAAACGACAAGCCCATTGTAGAGCTGAGCCAGAGTGACTCCAAGGTTTTTATGTAGGAGTTGACAAAGTTAAATGCCTAATTAGTGGTCCAATTTACAGGGTATATGAGAATCTCTGGTGCCCACTGCAGCCAAAGGGAATTACAGAAGATTTTAAAAAGTAAGTAATTACGGATTAAAATAAAATTAAATCAGGACACTTTTGAGACACCTAATTTTGTCTGTAGAAGCCTAGCACAAGGCAATTGTGATTACTTCTGTCTATACCTTAATAGCTATTTATTCCAGTCATTTAACACAGGTTTTGCTTAATTAAAGCCACATAATTAAGAAGCTATGTGAATACAGTATCTTTGTAGCACAGATCCAACTTCAGATATAAATACTCATCCTCTGGCCCTCCTTTTTAAAGTCCTATTCATGCTCCATCCCCTTTCTCCCTGGCTTAGGCTTGCTGCCCATTTTCTCCAAAGCAGGGCCTCCCTGGCACTCTGCCTCTGCTGGCAGCAGACAGGGGTTCTCTCAGTCCTTCAGCTCTGGGTTCACTCCTCCTTTGCAGCAGAGGCCACAGAGAACGAGGACATGCTTCTTCTTTTGTTTCTAAACAACTGTTACAAGCTGCTGTGCCCATGAGAAGTGCCAGGATCACAGCATGCTCTGCTCTTTACCCCCAAAGATGTGTTGCATCAATTTGCAGTTTCCTAAGCCACATCCCCGTTAAGCCAGACAATGGAAGCCTTTATAAGAGAGCACACATGCATATAGCTTAATCTGGATTTGTCACTGCATCATTTTAATTAGACTAAACAGTGTTCAGGACTTGGTCCTACTGCAAAGCTCAGTCATATTTTCCCAAAGCTGTAAAAATAAATAAAACAAACCCCATGGATTCTGCTTCTAAATTCAACTACTTCATGCAAGACCTTGTCTGGACGGGATACTTCCACTGTTTTCTCACAGCAGTGCAGTACAGAGGCAGCAGTACAGGCTCATTAAGGCTGACTTCTTTAATGTCACAGACAAGAGCTTAAACGTAGCCAGGCTGAAAGCAGCTCCTCTCTTCTCACTGTTCTCAGGCAACGCAGACTGGTTGTCTGAGTATTCTTATTCAATATTTTTTTGCAAAAGAACTTGGAGATATTTCTGCAGGCACCTCCTCATGCAAGTAGCTATTCCCTTCCCCCAGAATCAAGATGTTGTTCTATTACAATTACAGACCCAGTGAGAAACAAAAACTGAGACCGAAGCTCTGAGTTGGGCTCAGGTTGGAAGGGACGGTGCAGAGAAACTATTCATTGTAACATCAAGGAAGGAAATTCACAGTGAGAAGGTGACTGTGGAAAAGCTCATGTGTGGCAAAGAGATGGAAGAGACTGTCCCAGGCCTAAGGAGCACTATGAATAAGGAATGACACCAGGAAGAAGATTGGGGAAGTAGCAAGGCGAGACTGGGATAGCCAAAAGGGTTAAGAGGGAATGTCATTAAAAGATATGGGTTGGGTAAGATTCAGAGGATTCTTCAAATGAGAATGAAGAATTGAAATTTAATACAGAAGCCATAGGAGAGAGTCAAGGATCAGAATGATAGGGCCAGAGAGGCAAGACACAACTAACATGACATTTTTAATACACCAGAGAAATGAACAGTGAGAACAGAAGACAAACCAAGTCACAGAGGGAAAGGTAAGAGACCGGAGTGGGAACGGAGAAGGAAGGACGAGACAATGAGACAACACAGAGAAAGAAACAGCAACTCTTGGCAAGGATCTAAATATGGAAGAAGAAAGACCAAGAAGTGATGTGGGAAGCTACCAAGGGTCAACACAGGACAGGAGTTGTGAGGGGTTGGGAAAACAAGCACCAGCTCCACTTCCACAGAGTGTGTGATGGCAGCAAGGCAGACAAGAACGGATGTAAGATGAGAGGGGCTGGAAGGGAGGCTGAAAGCAACAGCAGAGATCTGGAAATGCACATGAGAACAGTGCTTTCCCACTCCTGTTCCATCGAATATAAAAACACAATCAAGCTAGACTGCGCAATCTCTGGTTCTTCCTCATCCCCCCAGCTCTTCCAGCCAATATTCCCTACTAACCTGGCATTTGAAACTCTTCAAATACTCGGCCCCCACCTGATCTTCTCGCTCAAACCCCGGTGCCTTCTTGTAGCTGCCGGCTGCTGTTACTGAGTCTGGAGGAAAACCAATGGTCTCCAAGCTGTGGGGCTTTCCAATGGCACCGGGAGGAGACCCACATATATTAGATGGGCTGCCAAGACTGCTGTTCCTACAAAGAATCTGACAGAAGGAACAAGTGTCAGGAAAGTACAGCCAGCCAAGAGCAATGACACGAAGGGGAGAGGCACCCCATGGAAGGGCTCAATTCACTTCACTGTTTGTAGATTGATTACACTGACGGTCAACAAAACTACACAAGCTTTCAGTAAACAGTAATTAAAAAAAAAAAAACAGGAAAAAGCTCCAATGGAGTTTTACAGTCCCACAATTATGGTTTTACTGTCGCTACCTTTCACTACAGCTCTAGTGACATTTATCCTTTTTTGAAGCCTCAGATGTGACTGATCCAACTTTCCAACTGACCATAACTCTCTTCTCTTTCCTTAGGCTACAGTGGATGCTGTCTGACTCTGGGTAGTAGTGTGGAACCTGGAAAGGTGCTCTGGCAGTCAGAACAACCAAACATACCTGAGCTATTGTGTAATATTGCATTTTTTGCTTTCCAGTTGGAAATCTGAAAGCTTTAATGCAGACATTAAAGCTGTATCAACAGCTGCATTAAAAAATCCTCAATGATTTCCAACAGTTCCATTCTTTGGACTAACACCAGGGACCACAATCACATGCAACAAGGCTAGTTTTGCACTGTAGATGAAGCCACAGACAGCAGTAAGATGAGCTTTAGAGAATGTGTCCACCTGGATCAATGCAAATATCCCATTTCTCTGGGACAAAAAACTATTCACCTGCACTGACAAGCATGACTGTGCTCCAGACATCACAGATTCAAATGTGGCACAGTCTGGGCTGGCATTAGGGGAAGAAAAAAAAAAAAAAAAAAAAGGGAAAAAAAAATGGAGCAGCCTACAATGTTTTGGGTTTATTTTTATCCAGACATTCTGCTGTCCACGCTTCCCTACAGTCGCAAAGATACTACTCACTGTGGTGGAGGTGGGGCTAGTTGGCAGAGTTCCTGATTTATTCCACACCTACAGTACAAATACAAAACAGAACAGGCCACGTGAGGCTGGCGGCTACAGGGACCCTTTTTTTTTTTTTTCCTCTGACTAATTCATCATGTAAAATGATCACCAGCAAAGCCATATTTGTTTGCAAGCTACATGCAGATGCCCTGTGGAGTGATGAAGTCACAGACAGACATGTGTTGCCATTTGGCACATAGCCAAGGATTAGGAAAGACTGTTTAAAAGACTAAGAGCCTGAGATAGAAAAGACCTAAACGGTCTAATAAGTAGGAGAGATCTTCAACTTCTCTGCAGCTTTCAGAGAATTTAGATGATATGTTCATAAGATGAAGGGGATTTGGTTTTTACTGCTTTCCACAGTGCTATTTAGTAAGAGACAATATTACATCCAGACTTTTCGAGATCTGTTTGGAATTCTAGCTGCAATCAAATTCAGCACAACTACGAACTGTTATGTTGGCTTTGGCACCAACAAAATCAAACTCAGCTTCTCTTTTGAAAGAGAGGGAATAAGATAAAACAGAGGTCCTAAATGAGTTCACCTCATTCTGACCAGTTTTAAATGAGTTAAACTTGTGTCATTTGACCTCCTCAAAACCTCAACCAACCATTTGAAAAGGTTACACACCTTATCAAGAGCAGTGCAAACAGGAAAGACTTAACAAACAGAAAAAAACCTAAGTAAAAATGTAGTCTTGCATTCCATGGGCCTCTTATCTGAGTATCTGTTCACCATTTAAACATCTCCCTTCTTGGATGGACAACTAAAATAAAGTATTACCAACAGTCTGGGGCACTACTTAACATGTTTTAGGGTTTAGCTATCCCCAGCAGTCGGAGAGGAAGGGAGCTAAGGATATCCTATAATGCAACACACAATATGCACAAGCTAAGCCTCTGAGATTACATATGTAAACAAACTCAATTGTAGTTATGTGCTTTGGAGGTTGTTGGCTCACAGCCTTTAATTAGAGGACTTGGAACCTAAGCCCAATATGTACCTCCAGACAGGAAGGAGTTGGGCTTCTTGTGCGGATGTATTCCACTTTCCTGAAAGCACATCAACAAACTCTGCACAGAAAGGAAGGCTTAGAAACTTTATAGAGGTTGAGAGGATGATACTAAAGCCACTGAATGTATGTTCCAAAAAAAAAAACATCTCTCTGAAAAGCGTGGAGCTGAGAACCAGAAGAAAAATCTCATATCCTTTGGGCTTTTGGATAGTTGAGATTTGTCTTCTTGGGAGACAAGAACAGTGACTCAGAGAAACCCAGACTACGGACAAGGCCTCTCCCCCAGGGCTACATACATTGCTAAGGTCTGGGGCGTGTGGGCTGGAAGGGCTGACTGGAACAGAATCCCCAGCTGCTGACGGCATGTACATCACCGGCCCTGGCTGCGTGGGGCTGGACACGGCCGAGGATTGCTGCAGATCTTCACTGAGGGCAGGCTCTGCAAGGGAGAAAAGCACAGGCAACATTACTCAAAGCTGTAAAACTGCAGTGGGGCACAAGACATTTAGGAACAAGAACACCTAGATACTCCTCAGAGGAAAAAATATTCTATAAGCACCTGCTTTTAAGTATAGAAGCAAAGAGAAACCTTATTTGGCAAACAGCTACCACTCCTCTAACACTCCTTACATTATTACTGCCATCACATGTACACTGTGCTGCTCTTTAGTCCATTAATGCTGCTCCAAAATTATCTTCCCTGCATGAATTGTGTGCTATTCATTCAGCTCTCTTGAACTAAGCAGAGCTTCCTTCATTGCTAGGCACAAAGTTGATGGGTGCATTATAATTAGCTGAGGGAGTTAAGTTTCCATCTGTGCTCAGTACAAACCATTATCAAAAAAGAAAAAGTGTCAGTGGCTCAGAAGGTAAAGGTGCTGTAGACCTGTAGTATTGACATCTAACACGAGTCAGCATCTTTACAAAAACTATAGAACCGACACTACACCTGCACTGCAGTGTCTTTGAAGTGCTGGTTTCAACACATTTCTTGCAAATAATCAGCAAAAGTCATGCCTAGAGCAGATATTTTAATTGAATTAGGCCCTCAGTGTTCAGCTGGCTAAGGAAGGACTGAAAGATGGAACTCCAACCAGGTTGGAATGACCAAAGTGCCACTTTCCCTTTAAGAGAATGTTACTCTCCCTTTAAGCAGTACAATATCAAGAGCAGCAATCTTGTTAGGACTAAGGCATCCCTAATCAAAAATACTACATTATAACCAAGGAGTTTGCAAAACACTGTTCCTTTATCAAGATTTCATTCTGCAAAGCTTGCTGGATCACACTGTGTAGTTGCACTGCTGTGTTTTGGGCCATTACAGCCCACAGCTCCAGCTATAATTACTGCTTGTCAACAAGGCCTCCTATAAAAGGAACTGCATAACCTGTAGGGAATTTACTCTCCCCGTTCCTTGACAAAGGCAGCAATTACTAATTCCCTCATTTACAAAGGATAATCAAATAACAAAGAGATTTTCTCAAGGCCATGTAGTGAGTCAGTACATCAGAGCCAATCTACTGAGTTCTGAGTAACCTGCTCTAATTGCTGCAAAGTCAGCAGTGACACTGGAGTGTAGAAACCGAGTAGAAACCATAGGACAGGAACTAACCATTATTCATGAATGTTAGTACCCACCTGTACAAAGAACTCCCACAACCAAAACAGCATCACTAGATGATTAAAGTGAGGATTGAAATAATGCCCTATAAATCAGGGAGCTACTGAGAAAAGAGGATTTAAGGAAAAGCAGGAAAAAAGCTGCATATTTTTCTTCTTCAACCTGACTTCAAGATTTAAACTCTAAGTAAAGCTTCATCAATAGTAAAACAGCATTTAAATTTTTTTATTGTATCAATACATTATCTATAATTAGCAACTTTATCCTCAGCTTTTTAAACAATAGTTTGCAGCTTATCCAGGTACAGTTCATCCATGCACAGAAGAGAAGCAGCTCTGTCCATTTCCATCCTCCTGAATTGACACAGAAAACTGAGCAGGTGAGAGGGAACAGAGGGAGATCCTCCAACAGACAGTGAGCTAAGGGTCAAGTCCTACATAGTACCTACTGCCTCCAGCTCTGCCAACACCTTTACACTAGCATGGTTTTATAGAAATTATCAAAGTTAACACTTTGGGTTTGAAAAACCTTCACAGAAGTTCTGGTTTTGCAGCCCTGTGTCTTAAATTGTTTTGGTCAGAAGCTCTCCACAGCTCAAATACCCATGAAAGATGAGAGAAGGAGTCCACGTACGTTCTACATGTGCAAAGGCACAGAAGGGTCCTCGGGGACAGCTGCCAGACTGCTGCATGTCATTGCATTTGGTGGATTTGTAGATCTAAGGACGGGAGAAAACAAAAAGAACCCGACAACTGACATGAACAGAAAATAACAGTGACCACCAGCCCAGGTACAAAAGTTCTATAGAGAAATTCAACAGTGAAGTAGGGACAGAGATAAAAGGTGCAAAGGCCAGCAGAGCTCAGGGTGACCATTTCAGTGCTTTGCTTCAAAGAAAGGAAAACCCACTGTAGTTCTGGAAACACCCAAATATGCCCATCACAGCTAGAGCTCAGCCAAAGACCAACCCACCACACACCAGCTCACCCAAAGGTCACCAACTGCCATGACGCTCCCCAGTCTTACTGGAAGCTCCATGGATATTACAAATGCCAAAAGGTAGGAAAGAGTTGACAGCACAGAAAAGTTCCAGACACGTGTTTGCAAGGAAAATAACAAACCATTGACAATGATTGTAGCAAATGGATTATTCCCTTTCCCCCCAGTTTGACAGGCGGTGACAATGGTTACTTTGCCGATACGGGCCCCACAAAGCTTTTCAACACTGTAACATGAAGCAGACTACGAAAAGGTCTTAATTACACTTTCTGTAAGGATATTGGAAAGCTCTGGGCATGCTCACAGCCAAGAGCTCAGTGGTGTTTAGTGCTATCATCATCAACCACAAGCTTTTATTCAAGGAAACAGACGCTGTACGCTCACGTGCAGACCCACATCGTGCTTCCCTAAAGGCCCCATACATGAGACTGCTCTTACACTCGAGTTTTTTCCCTTTTCTTACCTCCTCCCACGTGGTCTACCTAACAAAAATCTGTCAGGCAGCTGAATTTCATCTTACTCCCAACATGGAGTTTCTCTGCATCCCAGAACTACACTACAAGCAGCCCACATGTTCTCCCACCTGGCACAGTAATTTACTTCATAAGACTGGAATACTTTTGGCTTTCCTACCACCTACCAAACAGAGTGAGGAGGTTACTGTACCTCTGGATGGAACTGCTGTTCTGTGCGAGTGTGGCAGTACTGGCATGAGTCTCCATTCTCACACTTACTGGGATCTCCCCACTCGTCTCCATGTTTCACACTGGGACATGGTGAAGATCTGTGTAAATAAGGCAGCAGGAGAATGCATCAGACTCAGATGTGCTTTGTGCTTTGATTACTTTGAGCAGGTGGAGGGAGGTGAGTCCCCCTCTGCTCTGCTGCCCTGAGACCCCACCTGGAGCTGCATCCAGCTCTGGGGTCCCCAGCATAGGAAGGACATGGATCTGCTGGAGCCCTTCTGCTCTGCAGACAGGCTGAGAGAGTTGGGGTTGCTCAGCCTGGAGAAGGGAAGGTTCTGCAGAGACCATAAGAGTCCCTTCCAGTGCCTAAAGGGGCTCCAAGAGAGCTGGAGAAGGACTTTGGACAAGACTGAGAGTAATGGCTTTAAACTGAGAGAGAGTAGATTTGGATTAGATACAAGGAAAAAATTCTTCCCTGTGAGGGTGGTGAGGCCCTGGCACAGGTTGCCCAGAGAAGCTGTGGCTGCCCCATCCCTGGAAGTGTCCAAGGCCAGGTTGGATGGGGCTTGGAGCAACCTGGGATAGTGGAAGGTGTCCTCGCTCATGGCAGGGAGTTGGAACTGGATGATCATTAAAGCCATCTTCCAAGCCAAACCATCCTATGATATTACAAGTCCTCTATCAGGGGCAGGTTTGGGTGCCCACCCTCAGCTGTACAATCTGCTTGGCTGCTGTTTCCCCAGCCCCCACCCAGCTGCTACTGCCTCTTCTTCCCCTTCTTCCAGTCTCCCAATGAAAGAAACATGGCTTAATTCTCTATTTGAAACAGAATACAACTTGAACCAACACACACAACTTAACAATATTAACAGCTGATGTGATTAGTGTCAGAGACGCTGGGTCTGGTTTCTGTTTTGGAACTGCACCTTCATAGAAAGCTAAGAAGTTAATTGGTTAATCCTAAAACACATAATACCCTTACAGCAGTATGTTTCCAGGTTTATAGTGTGGCCACGTGGAAAAGAGGCTGAGTCAGGTCATTAGGGAAAAGGCAAGTCCGTTTTCTTTCTCCTAGACAGGAACAGTTCTTTTTTTTTCCTAGATCTGAATTTCTGCTGTGACCTACTTCCCCTGCTCTTTATGCTCTTAACCATTCCCTCAAACAACAGCAGAGGGAAGCAGATAGCAGCACCAGCACAGCCAGCATGAGAGGAGCCACATCAGCTGGGGGTGGGGAAAACACAGCAGTGAGTGGAGATCTGGAGGGGAGAAGCTTTCACCTCTTTCAGAAGCTTTCACCTCTTCCCCTCCCAAAGGGCCCAGGCAGGGGCAGAAAGCACATAGCTGCTGCCTGAAGACTGCCTTAGTGTTCCTGTTCCTCCTGAAAGTGTTGGGATTAATGTTTCTTTGGTCTCCGCTTGTTTAATTTTTTTAAATACAGATTTTCAGTACCAATTCAAAAAATTTCTGTGAATGCTGGGGGTGGGGAAGGGAAGGGAGAACATCCATGGCATTTTCTCTCCTGCCTTTTTGGTCTGCTCTTATGTTTTTCAAAAAGGAACTAAGGAAAAGCCCCACTGAGACCACAACAAAAGCTCTGTTGTGCTGGAGGAAATGAGGGCCTATAATTTGGATGAAATGCGTTCAGGGAGACACAGCACGCTGAAAAATCCAGCGACAGCTGAGTGACAGAACACCCTGGTGCCTCAAAAGCAGAGCCTTCAGCAGCTGGTTAGGAATGCATGTCCAGCTACAGTCCTGCTCACCCCGTGCCTCATGATCCCCATCACCAGGCACACACAACAAGCAGCCCGATGATTCTGAATCCTTTACCATGAAAACACTGTTGGGCGAGTTTGTTTCTAGATGGGGATTAAAACTTCCTTTTGTTTTCTTTTCCCTGCGCTGCTTTCTAAAGCAGAAGGGGAAGCCAGACACAGGTCTGTTTGCTATAAAATCAGAGCTGTAACATGATTAACAATTTATTTATTAGAGATACTGGTTCCTATACACAGGAAAACTCCTTGTTTAGTTTGTTATCCTTCTCCTAGGTAGAAATAAGAGTCCATCACATCTCCTGCCTTGGAGGTATGCTAAAAACAACTATCCAGTGGTCAGAATCCTGGCTCCTTCATCACAGATTTCCAATACACTGTACCACTAGGCTGGGAAGTAGAATATCCAGATCACAGTACCTGTATTTGTGTTTTCTTGGACTTCTTCTTCTGTCTTTGCTATTGTGGTAGTAGGGACAGGCATAACCCTGGCGACAGAGCCGGGGGGGTTTCTTACACTGCTCTGTCTTGTAATTGCCCAACACATACGTTGTATCTGCAAAACAAGCAACCAGTCAGTGGCAGATGACCACAATCTGTATTTACTATACAAAAGCTGTTGACAGAAGCAAGCACCCCAGAGAAACCAGACTTTGCCAGCCCCACAGATCCTAAGTGACGCTCACCTTGCCACCTTGGCTCCTCACTGAGTATTTTCTCTATCATGGCATGGCTGGCAGCGACCGCAGACTGACCCTCTATGCCTCCTTCAGATGTTGTCTGACCATTCTGCAAAGCCTCCATGGCCTGAAGCTCCCTTTGGGGACAGAGTTAAATGAACAAACAGATTGAGCAGATGGAAGAGTCAGGTAAGTGTGCATAAAAACTGACATACTAGAGCGTTTCCTAAGTGGGTGCATTTCAGTCAGGCATTTTTTGTCAGAATATCTTTAGTTGAACAGCAACTGTAATAAAAAAAAACTTAATTCCCTGGGAATTCCAGATGTACTATTTTGAATCCCCCATGAAATTCCAAAGTGTGATCCCTTCCCCCATTTTAGAGAATCCTCCCTGGAGGTTTCGTGGATTTGCCTTATTAGGAAGGGATATTCCATCATCACTCCATTTCATGCTGAAGCAGAACTGTCCTTCAGTCACCTCGCTTTTCCTTTGGGTACAGAGATTACCTTTTCCACACAGAGCCCCAACCTCCACTCCCTCTTTTCCCTGTGCTGCTTTCCGAAGCATGAGTTTATGTGGTAAGGGGAAGACAGACGTGGGTCTGTTTGCTATAAAATCAGAGTTGTAACATGATTTAACAGCTCATTTCCATAACAATTCACCTCCTGCCCTCACCTGATGTCGTACACCGGCGAGCGCAGGTCATGGGGCCCATGAGCGAACGCGCAGTGGACCCCGTTCTTCGTGCAGTTTCCCTTGGAGTCCGTCTCATGGATGCAGATTCCAGTTTTGTAGTAGCGTAAGTGATACCTCCTCTCTGTGTCTCCAGTAGTTCTATGCAAGAAGGGACACCTGAGGGAAGAACAGACAAAGTTTAGTCACGTGGGTGATGGGTTCAACACCCTAACCAAAGACACGCTGCTGATACAGGAGACTGCAGCTATCAACAGCTTTGCTAACTCTGCCCCTTCTTTACTGGTGTTCCCAAGCTACAGAGAACCCCCAAACATGTCACTACACAGGATGTAGTTTCCCTCCCAAAAGACAACTGGATTATTAAGCCAGCAGATCCTTATGATTCTGGTCTAATGACTGCCAGGGACTGGAAAAGAACAAAGACACTGCCAAGGTGTCCTGAGGTACTGGCTGCCATTTCCTCAGCAGCCCATCTAGACTTGGTGCTGTTACTGTTTCCTGCTGATGCAGCTACAGATGCAGTCTTTACGCAGAGCATGCGACAAGAAAGGAGAATTACAACACTATCATTTTAACTTGTGTTTTGTTTCCCCTCTTAGGCAGATGAGGAACAAGCTATCCTGACAACTTTTTAAAAAAATAACAAAATGGAACAGGCAAAGTTCAGATATTGATTGCAGCATCAAGCTAAAAATATAAATCAGCAAGAGTTCTGAGATGACAACAGCTTTCATTCACTGAGTGTGAGCCAGATTTCAACCAGTGATCTAGAAGCCAAAGCCCACAAATATCCCAATTTTAGTTCTTTCCAGATCTCTTCTAACAAGGAAGAAAGTACTGAAATCGAAGCTTCAGGCTGAGGGACTATTTCATTCTGCTCTAGTCACAAAAACTTTACTTAATCCAGTTAAAAAAAAAAAAGAAAAAAAAAAGAAAAAATACTGTTTTCCCAATAAATAGCATTTTTGTGTGTTTATACTGGCACCATGAAAGGGAACTGAAATTCCATCTTTTTACAACATCTCTACATAAAACACTCCCCATATTAGACCACAGTTTGGCTACACTATTTATTCTTCCACGTCTATCACGTGGCTAAAGTTATATTACTGGGTTAACCCCTTCATTGCTGGGGTCTGCCACATCCACAGCAGCAACACTTGCAACTCTGCCCCAGTTAAACTTATCATAGTCATGAGGAGACAACACTCAAAAAAATCAAACTCTTCCTCATGTTGCCTTACTCTGGGTACTTGTCATTCCCCTACTGCCTTCTTTAAAGTTCCAGAAGACAAAATAAACCGGTATGTTTTTAAAACTTGGGGACAGATAACTCAGGGGGCAGGTGAGAGGACAAAGTTCCTCCTTTTTTCTTCCACCTGTGAAAAACTAAGTTACCTTGCTAGTCAGCAAGAGCTGTTACTTGAGAGTCAGGGACTTACAGGAACAAAGCTTTTTGTCACTGAGCTGTTTTTCCCACCTGAGTTTTGCTGAAGATGCCAAGGTCAGTGAATTCCCAAGAGCCAAACCCCCATCTAAGTCACCCTTAGCAGGCCTGGAGCGCACAGACTGCCGTTACAGCTTTTACATCTCATGTTACGTCTGTGACAAAGCTGCTTTACTGCTGACTTGCCTCATCTCCACAAGAACTGGCTGGAATCATCACCTGGACCGATCCCAAAAGCCTAATGCCTGAAAAGCAGGGTGCAGTCCTTCACTTACTCATCTCCTTCTGGGCAGATTCCCGTGGTCTCGTCATACTTGGTGCAGTAGATGTCGGGGCTGTAGTTGAAGGTGCCGTCGCGGCGGCGGATGGAGCGGCGGCGGCGCTGGTTCACGAAGTGCCAGTGGAAGCAGGTGTAGGGCCGGTGCTGAGTGCACTTGTGCTGCACGAACAGGGGGCACTGCTCCGTGCGGAACTCCTTCAGGTACCTGTGGGCACACAGCGGGGCATCAGGAGCGGTGCCCAATCGCCCCAACCACAGAGGCCAGGCCAAAGCACGCTGCGCCCATCGGAGATGCCAGCTGTGCTGCCCACACCCTCCCTGCTGGTGCTCCCAGGGATGGAGGATGGGAGCTGCTCGTGTCTGTAATGGCAAGATATCCATTACACACAGGAATGTAACAAGAGCTGAAATCACTTTCTATCAGGATCACTTCGAAGAGGCTTTTCATGAGCTTAGAAAATGGTTTGTGAGAAAATAGAACTCTTAAGTGCCTTTCTATGCATTTCTATCTCCAAACCTGTGACCCACCAGGGCAAAAAGGGGTTTCCTTCCTGTATATTCAGTTAAAAAAACCCACAAATAAAATACACTTCTTTGAGCCATGTTTAAAGCTTCAAGTGATTGAGAAAGAAAGATTTTTAAAACTCTTTCATGTCTTATCCTCGTGGTTTAACTCAGCTTCTTCAGTACATGGTCAACTACGAAATTAAAATTAATCCATTTCTCTCTTGCAACAGTGTCAACTCAGGGCTCAGCCTTGAAAAGTGGGATAACTATCCTCAAACTCCCACATGTTTATGTTGCTTTAATTTTAATATGTAATTCTCTGATAGTACAAGTCTTCTTTTATCCCGAGAACTAAAGAAGTCACAAGCTTTTATTTGTGACACTAATAACAGTCTCTAAACCCAGATTGTAGAGGATTACAAAATGGTTTAGATCAACATAATGATCTGACTGTGATCTGTGTGTAGGTGCTTACAAAATCCACGCTGCTGAAACCCACGGGCTGCCCTGTTATTTACGGGGAACACCCCAACAGCTCACGGAGCTCGGACCCAAATCCCAGCAGGTTTGGCGCCAGAGACACATCCATAAACAAGGCAGGAGCATTCTGGTCTCCTACATATAGAGGTCAGTGTAAACAGCGAGTACCAAAATTTGTAGGTCAAAATCAAAATGCGAGTATTGTGCTGGAAGCAACAGGGTGATATAACAGCAGATCCGGGCTCATTTTAAACTGCGTATGCACTCCGAGGCAACAAAACGGAGGACAGGGCTTTCTCCAGCATTCATTCCCATGTCAGACAATCTTTATCTCGTATTTCTAAATAAATGGAAAGATGTCTGATGCCCAAAGATGTATTTACAGATAATATCATCATGCCAAGGCTCATTCTGAAAGCAACATCTGTAAATAAAGCCTCCTTTCCTCTTTACCCCGGCTGAGGAGAAAGCCTCGGGAAAATGCACAAATTCAACCAAAGTGGTTTTATTTGTTTGCTTAGAAGAGAGAGTATCACTGGCAAGAGCTTTCCTACATTGGATTTTACAAGCATGAAAGGATAAAAGCTCTTCCTCCTCTTCAGCCCCTAAATACGTGAGATTTGCAGGTTCCACAGCTTCGGATCTGCAGATGCCCGGGGCTGGAAGCCTCCGCAGCGGCTGTAAGCCCTTCCCTACCCAAGCCCATCTGTCTCCTGCAATCCAGCGTGGCTGGAACAGTATCTGCACTGGGGCCCAAAGCTTAACAGCAGGAAAACCAGAGCCAGCTGCAGAAACAGGTCTGCTCAGCATAGGTGAGAGCTAAAAACACCACTCTGCTGCTGTTCACTCGTAAAAATCCAGTTCTATTCAAATGGAGATCCCTACTCCAGCCACAGCAGCTATTAGTCTGAAAACTGAAGGCTGCAGTAAAATTCATCCATTCTTGAAAAGCCTTCTAAGCTGTTGGACCGAATACAGCTGTAGAAGGTGGAATTCCACAGATTATTTTATCTTATTAGCACACTAAATGCTCAAAAGCGACTGCAACATTTTCGTTTGAAAGTCAATTAAGTAACCTGAAGCAGCAGGATGTTTAGATTGCTGTCCACAGTCACCAACCAGTTGCTTCCACCCCCACATGTCCACATACACCTCAGAGACACGAGATTTGTGTTACTCCCATTTTATACATGGACAAGCTACAGAACAGCTGGCTCCGTGCTCCAGCTGGTATCCTGCAGCAACTGGAATCTGTGACAGAAACCAAGAGCATTTAAACCCCTCCATCTTCACCAAGTCCTAGGTTTAAGTTCAGGAACAGCATCCTGAGCCTACTCAGTGCTCTGGAACCTAAGGGGAGATACCAGGCTTACACAAGCCGGGTATCGAGCACAGCACTCCAGACTTGCAGTGACAGGCACGTTTAAAACACTTAAAAATCCTAGAATTTCACAACTGCACGATCAGCTGAGTTGAAACAGCTTCTCTTCAGAAGGAAGTTTAAAAATGTACACACTGACGAGGGATTTCGGTCTCTAGTGTCTCAATTGTTGCTGAAGAGCATTTGAAAATTAATTGCATTTCATGATTGGCTAAACTCCCTGGAGAAACATTTATTATAATGTAAATGAGAGATAATTACATAAGTAAATGGTTCACCTGAAAAGTGTTTAACACCTAACTTGCTTCATCAGAAAGTCATTCTTTAATGCTGTCTATTAAATAAATGATGTCTCACTCTTAATTTCAAAGCAAGTCCTGCAAACAGGTGCCAGAGCTCCATATGAGACATTAACTGTGCATGATCACCTCTGCAACAGACTGGAGGAAAAGGAGAGTTGTCACATTAACTCGCTCATTTCGAGCCTTTCAATCACTGCTCTGGGTTTTCCTTTTTTCCAAGCCACTACAACGTTTTAAATCACCCTCCTCCACAATAGCCTGAATGGTAAATTGCCTTATAGCCCTTTATTTTCTTGATCCATGAAGTGAGTTTTGGCTCCTCTGGGAGAACACGGACCACTCAACCAGCCACTTTGTATTAAAATATATGAAAGGCGTCTGAACCACGTGTGTTTTGGGAACACAGAAAGGATACACAGCTCTCACCACTGCAATGTGCTGCCTCACAAAGCAGAAAGCCATTAATATTTCAGCAGCCTCCTTGCAAAGGCTCTAAACAAAAACGTAGAGAACACTGTCAAGACAGATCCTTCTGGTGTCAATGGTCTCTATAATTTTTTTTTTTTTCCCCCAGAACAGCTGAGAAAAGGAATTTTTGAACGACCCTTGAAGCTGGAAACACGTTGATAACTGGTACACAGTTTCGCAGCGTGTCAGCCAAACGCTGTGTCTGTACAGGAAGAGGAAATCCAGCAATGATAACTTGCATTTCTCAGCTCCTCTCAGGAAACTCTACCGCCCCTACATGAGGGGCAGAAGAATTATTACCCCTCTTTTACATAGAGTTAGTTACTTTTATATTTAGTGTTTTTTTAAAATATATGTAATTTCTTCAAACTAATGTAATTTTTTGAAAAAAGTGGAAAGCACATAGCACTGTCTTCCACCTACATGAACATCAGCAGCAACACCCACATTCCTGGAGGAAATGTTACCATTTATGAGCCTTAGTAAACAAAGATGAATGCAATTCTAAACAAATGGGACAAGACTGGCTAGAACAATGCAGATCAAAGTCCCCTGGCTGAACTGAACTTGCTGCTGAACAGGACGGATGCTACTGGATATCAAAGTTTTTTTCACTAGGAAGACAAGAGGAGAGGTTCTTGGAGTAGTTTTGGGAACTTCCAGAGACCAACAGGAGCGGCAAAGTATTGGAAAAGTACTGGAAAAACCTCCAATGCTACTCTGCTGAAATTCCACTTCCTCTGGGGTGGGATGTGGGAAGGGGCAGTGATTACTCTTCAAGGAAAAAAAAAAATTAAATCTAGAAAGAAGGAGGAAAAAACAAACAAACCAAAAACCCCAAACAACAAAAAGAGTGAAACCAAGAAGAAACTCTAATCCAGAAGTTTCATTTCTACATGCCATGACTGCAGCCGTGTCCTGGCCACGTTCATCACCTGCCACTGCAGAGATCTCCTGTTTCTCTGCAGATTTACTGGTGCACTCAAGCGGCTCAGTAGGACAGGATACCTGCATCCATCCTGCTTCCAGGGCTGCAGCTTCCTGCCAACCCTGACATAAGTCACACGTGCAGGGGAGCGAGCTCAATTCAGGAAAATGTGCTGGTCGTGCACGAAGACAGCTGAGCTCCAAATTCCTCACAAAAGCCTTACCCAAAGCTCCCAGAAATCACTGGAAGACGCACACTGATGGCAAGGGAGAGTCTCTGCTTTGTAACAGAGGGATCAGGAAGAGTGGGGAGAGAAACAATTCCGAGGCGCAAGGAAATGAAAGGATTAAAACCAACTCTTCCAAACTCCTGTTCCTTCCCTAATGCAAAGCCAGGCTCTCCTCTGCTTCCAACGCCCTGTTTGAAACCTTTATAGAGGTCCCAAGACGAGCTCCTCTCCTTTGCAGCCCTTCTGGTTCCTCCTGGTCAATCCCCTTTGTGCCAAAATCCCTCCCAGGAAGAGAGGAAGGACCAAAGTGAGCGCAGAGGCTCCTTAACAGGATCTGAACCTTCTGCATCAGTGCAACACCAGAGACAAAACCATGAGATGATTGTTTGGCTAATCCAGACTGGGACACTGTCAGTAAATGTAGGGCAATAGTGAGATCTAACACCGCCGGCCTGGAGATTTCCCATGCGTGTGGGTGTGTGTTTACACCCATGGAACTGCTACAGCACCTCAGTAAAGGGCCCTGCTGAGTGGTTGGTACCAGCACTGCCTGTCTGGTGTCAGCCCAGTCTCAAATCCACACAGCTTTTACACCAGTAGCATTTATATTAGCAATCACTAGTCCACTAGGCTGGTATAAAGATTCTTAGTAGTCGGCACTGTCCAAAAGGGCCCACAGAGGCAAATTTAACTGAGAAATCTACAAAGAAACTGCTTGGTTGTGTGTTTTGTCTTGAGTTTTGGTTTGTTTGGGTTTTTTCCCCTTCAAACCAAGGCTTAAGTTCCTGATAAAATTCAAGGTATCAGGAAGAAAATGCTCTTCTGCCGTTACCATTTATTTTAGCCCTGTCTGCCTTCTCTCAGCAAAGTATCACGCTGGCAAAGATGTCATTTCTTCAGCACAAAGGTA